TTTATTTTGTCCTCCTCCCTGTTGTCTACTCCCTCTCCTTATGTACTACCAGTTAACGGGGATGTGGGCTGTCATTGACCTTTTGAGCGTCATTGAGAAAATAGACAAAATATAACTACCCTTTCGCTCTGGCTCTTTTTATAACGTGCAAGTGGGCCGTAAAGGCACACGTGGATGTGGGCAGCTGGCGCTCAAGCATCATCAACGTGGCCAGCCTTGTACGTGATAGGCACAATAAGAAGCTAAAGAAAATGGGAGGCCTCCCAATGCTAGCTGATGAAAATATAATCAAGAAAATGATATAACGAATTTATTGTCTCGTATTGTTTTTGCTGCTGGGTTGGCCCATCTCAAGTGTGTTGCAATGCTTGTGTTATGATCCTGGCCAATTTCAAGATACACATCCATCAGATAGTACAATGCCGTCCAATTGAAGAAAGAAATGAATGAACTTGAGAGGAGAGAGAGGATTAGGAGAAGAAGAAGAAGTAAGAAAGAAGAAGAAGATGATGTACGCCAGCATAGACAAATGACAAGACTCTTCTTCTTCGCCCAACAATCTCCTCCTCCTTATCTCCCCCTTCTCTTATTCATACAAGGAATAATAATACAATGTTGAATGGTTGATCCAGAATCAATGTCCGAGTCCCTCTTCTACTGCAGGTATCACTTGAGGTCCACCATAGCCATGGCCGCCTCCCCCACTCTTCACTCTCATAGGCCGAGGCTATGGTGGACTAGTAGGCCTTGCCCAGATGCCCAAAGGGCAACCCAAAGCAGCTATGGCTGCTCTAGCTCAGGCCGCCATGCCCAACCCTGCCTTGAAGCTTCTTGGTGTGGCTCTCCCCAGTTGGGGACTCCCTGCTGCAGCGCCCACCAAGGTGATGAAGATGGCTGCCACCATAGCCAGGTAAGTACCCCTGGCGCTCCTCCCCCTTCCTTCCTTCTTCCTCCCTCGTGTCCTTCTCCGTCCTCCCAGCAGTGCTGCTCCAGCATAGCGCTGCTCCAACCAGCGCTCCAGCAGTGTGTCGCCAAACTTGCACACCGAAAAAGAGGTCGGGCTCTCCGCCCAGCTGGGAGGTATAGCAGCCTGCTTGCCTCTTCGGGCGGTGACTTCCAGGCCGCTCGGCCTTCCAAGCAAACGGTACCTCCTCCCTTTCGGAGGGAAACATCATTGCAGACTCTGATATTGCCCGTACAGGCCCTAGACCCACACTGGTTGGACTGATATCCGCCTACACCTAACCTACAACTACTGGGCCTCTAAAAATGCCACTTTTGTCTTCTTCTGCTCAGCCTCCAGTACCCGCACATCTACCCCTTCAGGGTGCGGTACCGGCCTACCCGCTACTTAAGTGTTTTTCCTGCTGCAATCCCTCAATGTCACGGCCACAGGTAAGTGCCGGCCCTGAGGGCCCAATGAACGAGCAAGTGCCCTTGCGGGCCACACACACACTCAAGCCAACCAGCACTCAGATAGGCACGACCACACACACATTCAAGCCATCCAGCACTCAGACAGACATGCAGTCCAGCAAGCGTGCACACACAGACTTAGTAGCAAGCGGGAAACTCAGCAGGGCATTCAGTCTATGGGCAAAACTCAGAAATCAGCTGTGTTCCAGTCCATGTTTGGACGGGTCATCACACTTGTGTAAAGATGAGATTCCTTGTTGCTTGTTTAAAGGTTTTAAAGGTAAGGTTCTGAATAAATATTGACTTCACAAGCTAAACTGTTTCATTGGTGGATTGGCTCATCTTGAGAATGCTTCATTGTGTGCTATACGTGAAAAGTTGCTATGACTTTGGATCTACTTATCTGGGTGGAATAGGGGAAGTTGTGGTGATATTTTATAACACACGCACACACACACACACACACACACACACACACACACACACACACACACACACACACACACCCCGCAACTGGCCTCATGCTACTTATGTCGATAGGATGAGCATAATCAAATAAATGCTTTCGCTAGAACATCGAAATGTACATACTACACGTGTGGGTGTGGGTGGGTGCGTGTCTGTGTGTGTGTGTGGGTGCGTGTGTGTGTGTGTGTGTGTGTGTGTGTGTG